ACGGAGTTAGAAGAGACCGGAAGAGAGGTGCGGAGATAGAGGTGTTTAGTTATGAGGCGTATATTGCTTGTGACAATCCAAAAATTTTCAGGAAATGAGATGAGGCAGTAGCTCCACCAAAAACAGGCAGTGCTCCAGAAAAACAGGCAGTGCTCCAATAAACAAAAGGCCAGTGCCCACCAACAAAAGCATCTTCTCCAAACAACAACCAGTGCCACCAACAACAGGCCAGTGCTCCATAAACAACAGGCCAGTGCTCCACCAAACAACAGGCCAGTGCTCCAATAAACAACAGGCCAGTGCTCCACCAAACAACAGGCCAGTGCTCCAATAAACAACAGGCCAGTGCTCCACCAAACAACAGGCCAGTGCTCCAATAAACAACAGGCCAGTGCTCCACCAAACAACACGCCAGTGCTCCAATAAACAACAGGCCAGTGCTCCACCAAACAACAGGCCAGTGCTCCACCAAACAACAGGCCAGTGCTCCAATAAACAACAGGCCAGTGCTCCAATAAACAACAGGCCAGTGCTCCAATAAACAACAGGCCAGTGCTCCAATAAACAACAGGCCAGTGCTCCAATAAACAACAGGCCAGTGCTCCACCAAACAACAGGCCAGTGCTCCACCAAACAACAGGCCAGTGCTCCAATAAACAACAGGCCAGTGCTCCAATAAACAACAGGCCAGTGCTCCAATAAACAACAGGCCAGTGCTCCACCAAACAACAGGCCAGTGCTCCACCAAACAACAGGCCAGTGCTCCAATAAACAACAGGCCAGTGCTCCAATAAACACCAGGCCAGTGCTCCAATAAACAACAGGCTAGTGCTCCGATAAACAACAGGCCAGTGCTCCACCAAACAACAGGCCAGTGCTCCACCAAACAACAGGCCAGTGCTCCAATAAACAACAGGCCAGTGCTCCAATAAACAACCAGGCCAGTGCCCCACCAAAACAACAGGCCAGTGCTCCACCAAACAACAGGCCAGTGCTCCACCAAACAACAGGCCAGTGCTCCACCAAACAACAGGCCAGTGCTCCACCAAACAACAGGCCAGTGCTCCAATAAACAACAGGCCAGTGCTCCACCAAACAACAGGCCAGTGCTCCAACAAACAACAGGCCAGTGCTCCACCAAACAACAGGCCAGTGCTCCTCCAAACAACAGGCCAGTGCTCCACCAAACAACAGGCCAGTGCTCCAATAAACAACAGGCCAGTGCTCCACCAAACAACAGGCCAGTGCTCCAATAAACAACAGGCCAGTGCTCCACCAAACAACAGGCCAGTGCTCCACCAAACAACAGGCCAGTGCTCCAATAAACAACAGGCCAGTGCTCCACCAAAACAACAGGCCAGTGCTCCAAAAACAACAGCCAGTGCTCCACAACAGGCCAGTGCTCCAATAAACAACAAGCCAGTGCTCCACCAAACAACAGGCCAGTGCTCCAATAAACAACAAGCCAGTGCTCCACCAAACAACAGGCCAGTGCTCCAATAAACAACAGGCCAGTGCTCCAATAAACAAGCCAGTGCTCCACCAAACAACAGGCCAGTGCTCCAATAAACAACAAGCCAGTGCTCCCACCAACCAAACCAGGCCAGTGCTCCAAAAAACAACAGGCCAGTGCTCCAATAAACAACAAGCCAGTGCTACCAACACACCAAAACAACAGGCCAGTGCTCCAATAAACAACAAGGCACCACAGGCCAGTGCTCCAATAAACAAAAAGCCAGTGCTAATCCACCACCAACAACAGGCCAGTGCTCCAATAAACAACAAGCCAGTGCTCCACCAAACAACAGGCCAGTGCTCCAATAAACAACAAGCCAGTGCTCCACCAAACAACAGGCCAGTGCTCCAATAAACAACAAGCCAGTGCTCCACCAAACAACAGGCCAGTGCTCCAATAAACAACAGGCCAGTGCTCCAATAAACAACAAGCCAGTGCTCCACCAAACAACAGGCCAGTGCTCCAATAAACAACAGGCCAGTGCTCCAATAAACAACAAGCCAGTGCTCCAATACACAACAGGCCAGTGCTCCAATAAACAACAAGCCAGTGCTCCACCAAACAACAGGCCAGTGCTCCAATAAACAACAGGCCAGTTCTCCACCAAACAACAGGCCAGTGCTCCAATAAACAACAGGCCAGTTCTCCACCAAACAACAGGCCAGTTCTCCACCAAACAACAGGCCAGTTCTCCACCAAACAACAGGCCAGTGCTCCACCAAACAACAGGCCAGTTCTCCACCAAACAACAGGCCAGTGCTCCACCAAACAACAGGCCAGTGCTCCAATAAACAACAGGCCAGTTCTCCACCAAACAACAGGCCAGTTCTCCACCAAACAACAGGCCAGTTCTCCACCAAACAACAGGCCAGTTCTCCACCAAACAACAGGCCAGTGCTCCACCAAACAACAGGCCAGTGCTCCACCAAACAACAGGCCAGTGCTCCACCAAACAACAGGCCAGTGCTCCTCCAAAAAACAGGCCAGTGCTCCACCAAACAACAGGCCAGTGCTCCACCAAACAACAGGCCAGTGCTCCTCCAAACAACAGGCCAGTGCTCCACCAAACAACAGGCCAGTGCTCCACCAAACAACAGGCCAGTGCTCCTCCAAACAACAGGCCAGTGCTCCACCAAACAACAGGCCAGTTCTCCACCAAACAACAGGCCAGTGCTCCACCAAACAACAGGCCAGTGCTCCACCAAACAACAGGCCAGTGCTCCACCAAACAACAGGCCAGTGCTCCTCCAAACAACAGGCCAGTGCTCCACCAAACAACAGGCCAGTGCTCCACCAAACAACAGGCCAGTGCTCCTCCAAACAACCGGCCAGTGCTCCACCAAACAACAGGCCAGTTCTCCACCAAACAACAGGCCAGTGCTCCACCAAACAACAGGCCAGTGCTCCACCAAACAACAGGCCAGTGCTCCACCAAACAACAGGCCAGTGCTCCACCAAACGAGCCATCACACTTTAATAACATACTTCAAATTTTCTCCATACCGTAAGCTTTGGAAGCTTAGTGGCCAGGAACTGCGACTCAAGACATCAGGAGTGGGCGGTAAGGAGTTCGAGTGGATGGGTGGTGGGAGGGAGATTGAAAGATGGGTGGTGGGAGGGAGACTGAGAGGTCGGTGATGGGAGGGAGATTGAGAGGTCTGTGGGGAGAGAGAGGGATGATTCGTGGTAGAGGGGTGAGAATGTTTGGGCAGTGGATAGAGTGGGTGGGTGCGAGGTTAATGGGTGAGCAGTGAGAAGGGAGAGGGAGTGGGTTGTGTAAAGGGAGTGTGGGTGAGAAGTGAGAAGATAGAAGGGACAGGAAGGAGAGAGAGGAAGCAGAGAAGGAGGAGGAGTTTATATGCAAGGAAGCATGACGCCAAGGCTGCCATAGAGACATAATTTATACCCCCATCGTGTCAGTCTCCTTACCACTTGAGACAATGATCTGCTACACACGGAGACGAGAAACGGCACACTCTTTATAATAGTTACACTTCATGATATAAAGCTTCTCAAAACTCTCTTGCCAAAATAGGGGAATTGCCAATAAACCCCTGGCTGCCTTCAAGAGAGAGCTGGACAGATACCTAAAGTCAGTGCCGGATCAGCCGGGCTGTGGCTCGTACGTTGGACTGCGTGCGGCCAGCAGTAACAGCCTAGTTGATCAGGCCCTGATCCATCGGGAGGCCTGGTCATGGACCGGGCCGCGGGGGCGTTGATCCCCGGAATAACCTCCAGGTAACCTCCAGGTAAACCTGAATCTAGTTAACAAATGTAGTGAATTACCAAGAGTGAAAGTTACAGAAAAACATCTTTTCAGTTAATAATTTCTTCCAGGCAAATCTATGGCACTGCAATGGGAAATCCTCTTGGCCTAATTTTCGTTACATTAATTCTATATAATACAGACAAGTTGATGAATTAGACACAGGCGTAAATTCTTGGTATTGTAACTGGTAGAGACGTTCCTTCTTGGCTTTGTCAGTCCAATATAGAAAAGAAATACTGGAGATGATGGAAGAAATTAAGAGGTAATTTGGGGTTGTTCAGCTCCTCAACCTTGACGGATGTTCAGCTCCTCAACCTTGATAGGTTTTTCAGCTCCTCAGACTTGATAAATCTAAAGTATATACTTGAACGAGAAAAGAAATACAGCAGTTGATAACAACAGAGGAGAGCGGAACCTAACACCGAGTCCCTCCCTACTCCTTCCCTCAACTCACACAGAGGTCAGTAGTTGGCGATATGCTGCTTAGGTTAGGTTAGGTAAGGTTCGTGCCGACCGGAAAGAAACTTGATCAATGGCTCATGTCCCTCCCCGGTCCTGTGTGAAATACATTATGTCTTGCAGCTGATTTTAACTAGGTTTATGTGTTGTGTACCTGCAATAATCGTTAATATATCAGACTCTCTTTCTGCACTGCTTGGTATGGACTCAGCCTCAAAACGAGGTCTGTTTCCGCATATCAAGTATGCTTCGGGAACTCAGCTTACTCTAATACTGAATGGACTTACTCTCTGCCTGCCTTGTAGCTGACACAACGAAGTATTTTGAGGACACTCTTTGACTAGCTGATATCTGCATAAACCTGCACTGTGTTGCCTAGTGGTCGTGTGCAAGTGAGCTGCACAGTATAATACTTGTAAGAGGTCTTAAGAGTTTTGTTATTTGTTATTTTTGTTATTTGTTTTGTTATTTGTTGAATACTTACATTAATATACGCCACAACTGATATATACATTACGACTGACAAAATAATTGTTTACAATCAATTATTATGTCAATTATGACTACTATATATATGTACAAAATGTCTTTCTTGGGTAAAGCTAAGAGGATCTTACACCTGTGTCATCAGTCCCTAGATTGGTAAATAGAAATAATATTATCAGTTTAAAAGCGTGAGATGGTTTGTCTAAAACAATCTCTGCTATGGTGCCACGAGCAGCCATGCCTCGCATCAGGTCACGTGTGGAGGCCAGGTCACGTGTGGAGGCCAGGTTTCATGTGGAGGCCAGGTTTCATGTGGAGGTCAGGTCTCATGTGGAGGTCAGGTCTCATGTGGAGGTCAGGTCTCATGTGGAGGTCAGGTCTCATGTGGAGGTCAGGTCTCATGTGGAGGTCAGGTCTCATGTGGAGGTCAGGTCTCATGTGGAGGTCAGGTCTCATGTGGAGGTCAGGTCTCATGTAGAGGTCAGGTCTCATATGGAGGTCAGTTCTCATGTGGAGGTCAGGTCTCATGTGGAGGTCAGGTCTCATGTGGAGGTCAGGTCTCATGTGGAGGTCAGGTCTCATGTGGAGGTCAGGTCTCATGTGGAGGTCAGGTCTCATGTGGAGGTCAGGTCTCATATGGAGGTCAGGTCTCATGTGGAGGTCAGGTCTCATGTGGAGGTCAGGTCTCATGTGGAGGTCAGGTCTTATGTGGAGGTCAGTTCTCATGTGGAGGTCAGGTCTCATGTGGAGGTCAGGTCTCATGTGGAGGTCAGTTCTCATGTGGAGGTCAGGTCTCATGTGGAGGTCAGGTCTCATGTGGAGGTCAGGTCTCATGTGGAGGTCAGGTCTCATATGGAGGTCAGGTCTCATATGGAGGTCAGGTCTCATATGGAGGTCAGGTCTCATATGGAGGTCAGGTCTCATATGGAGGTCAGGTCTCATATGGAGGTCAGGTCTCATGTGGAGGTCAGGTCTCATATGGAGGTCAGGTCTCATATGGAGGTCAGGTCTCATATGGAGGTCAGGTCTCATATGGAGGTCAGGTCTCATATGGAGGTCAGGTCTCATGTGGAGGTCAGGTCTCATGTGGAGGTCAGGTCTCATGTGGAGGTCAGGTCTCATGTGGAGGTCAGGTCTCATGTGGAGGTCAGGTCTCATGTGGAGGTCAGGTCTCATGTGGAGGTCAGGTCTCATGTGGAGGTCAGGTCTCATGTGGAGGTCAGGTCTCATGTGGAGGTCAGGTCTCATGTGGAGGTCAGGTCTCATGTGGAGGTCAGGTCTCATGTGGAGGTCAGGTCTCATGTGGTCTAGTGCCATCACTTCAGACGTGTAAAACACTGTTAAGTTAAATAATATAACTGAAGCTAAATAACACGTGACGAAGAGTAGAAACCTTGGAGAGAGAGAGAGAGAGAGAGAGAGAGAGAGAGAGAGAGAGAGAGAGAGAGAGAGAGAGAGAGAGAGAGAGAGAGAGAGAGAGAGAGAGAGAGAGAGAGAGAGAGAGAGAGTATATCTGTATAAAAACTGATAACTAAAGTCTAGCAGGAAGAATACAAATGACAATATGATAGACGGAATAAATCACAACGAACCTAAAAGATAAAAATTAAACTTTAGAAGAGGTTTCCGTCCATTATCAAGTCACGACATAAAGACAGTCTAAGGAAGACCGAAAGGTCGTCTAATGTTTGCTCTGCAACTAGTGGGTCAGCTGTGTATAATATAACTACGGGTCCTCCTGCCTTGCAATCTCTCAACGTTCGCTGCCACCTCAACAAATTTATGTAACTAAAATAATGTGTTATACAGAAAGCCAGGCATGGATATGTACAGGAAAGGTGGATCAACACGAACAACACGGACCAATCATGGAGGTAAAAAGGACAAAAGTGAAACTAATGCGACATTTTATTGTGGCAACGTTTCGCTCTCCAGAAGCTTTAAGAACATTAGAACGGAGAAACACTGCAGCAGGCCTGTTGGCCCATACTGGACAGGTCTTTCACAAATCCAACCCACTAACAGAGTATCTGCCCAACCCACTGTCAGTGCTACCCCAAGCAATAAATGGGTTGGGCAACGTTTCGCTCTCCAAACCTGGAGAGCGAAACGTTGCCAGAATAAAACGTCGCGTTAGTTGAACATGTGTCCTTGTACCTAACATATTGTCGGTAATTCTACCCACATTATTATATATCACAGTAATAACGGAAACAAAGCTGAGGCAAGATGCTGAGGTAAGATGCTGAGGTAAGATGGTGAAGAAAGATGCTGAGGAAAGATGGTGAGGAAAGATGCTGAGGAAAGATGCTGAGGAAAGATGGTGAAGAAAGATGCTGAGGAAAGATGGTGAGGAAAGATGCTGAGGAAAGATGCTGAGGAAAGATGGTGAAGAAAGATGCTGAGGAAAGATGCTGAGGAAAGATGCTGAGGAAAGATGGTGAAGAAAGATGCTGAGGAAAGATGCTGAGGAAAGATGCTGAGGCAAGATGCTGAGGTAAGATGGTGAAGAAAGATGTGAGGAAAGATTGGTGAGGAAAGATGTGAGGAAAGATGCTGAGGAAAGATGGTGAAGAAAGATGACTGAGGAAAGATGGTGAGGAAAGATGCTGAGGAAAGATGCTGAGGAAAGATGGTGAAGAAAGATGCTGAGGAAAGATGCTGAGGAAAGATGCTGAGGAAAGATGGTGAAGAAAGATGCTGAGGAAAGATGCTGAGGAAAGATGCTGAGGAAAGATGGTGAAGAAAGATGCTGAGGAAAGATGCTGAG